GACCAAAGTTTTACTTGACGAATACAAACCCAAAGGCGAGGCAAGGATGATTGGGGCATATTTTGTTCTAGATTTAGTCGGTTCTTGTGAAATGTTGTAAAATCGCAATTCCTACACGCAGCAGATGAAGTGGTAAAGCGGATGCTCCGGCATACTAAATAAACTGGCCATTAGAAGTTAGTATAAACATAGAAAATTCAAACATCCCAACTTCACTTTATATAAAGCAATATATCTGTGCACTGCTATAATGCCTAGCTCAGCACAATCGAGGAAGTTATCTTGGGTATACCAAGCTGTGTATAAGGGAATAAACAAATAAGCGAAATTGTATTATCGACTATGCAAATCAGGCCTCCATATTCAGTATCAGGGATGTGCAATAGAGTGATCTATATCCATCACTGGCTGATCAGAAAGAATCCAATGCTGGTGACCTATTTCCAGTTGAAAGAAGACAGGCGTTTAACAGTGCTACGGTTTATGGCTAATGATCCAATTTTAGAAACAAGTAGTCACCGAGTATGTCATGAGGGATAGTACAAAGCCCAAATAAATATTTGTCACTATGCAGTGGCAATAATACGCTGGTATTGAAATGATTTCATCAACAAAGTTAGGGATTATTTGGGAACTATGAGTTGTGTAGGCGCGTCGCCTAAGTCATATTCCTTCTAGCCGCAGTCATCAGGTCTTCTTAAGTTTTATTGTTTCTGCTAGACTGTATGCCACTGGAATGACGAACGACCATTTGGGTTCTCAAGAGGCAATCTACCAGATTTTAAACAATTCAGCTGCTTTCGCTGCTATTTGCGGACAGTCGTTAATGCATTAAATGTCTATGTTAACTCTGTAGATAAGTAAATGATGGTCGAATTATGATGCGCTATTACACACGGTGGCCTGCTGATACCTATGTCATTTATCACGCGGACGGGCGTTATGCCGGATGCACCCGCCCAAGGAAGGATTTGGCCTCAGAGAGGAGAATGGGGGGCAGTGGTTTATCTAGGTACTTTGAATGATTAATTAATTATGTTGAATTTTGTAGTGTTTGTACTTAAGGATAGATTTAGTGTTTTGAGCGCTAAACGCAGCAGTTAACATTTGAGGTCAATACAAAAACACTGTTCCTACCCTTGCTGCATAAATGATTCCAAAATTATATGGAGTTGCTAAACTAGATATAAGAATAAGAGCTCATTTTAGTAGAGATTATAGCGCATTGCTTGGACTCATTTACTTATCAGGCCAAACAAAAGAGTATGCAACATTGAAAAGATTTACCTTAGTGACTTAAAGAGAAAAGGACTAAAGATTTTGAAGTACACAGACTATAAATCTATCTTCAACACATGCTATTTTGCATTAGTGGCATGGACAGAATTGTGCTGTACGTTCCATATTTTCCTTATGGGATCCCATGGCTTAAGCGAAATTTTAACAACTTGTAGAATTGGATCGACAATTGCTTTAGACCCGCAGTTTAGATCAAAGCTTCTGCACTATAGGCATGCCATTCTACCATACCAGTGGTACGGAAATAGCCCGCAGAAAAGCCGAATTTTTCGATGAGTCACTTCGTCCGCTGAAGGAATTGGCAGATTTCCGAAATACCCGCAAGTAAGTTGCGGCTCCGAAATAATGATGATGAACTCAGCCAAATATGCACAGTGAAATACTATCTGAAATTGATTTTCTCTCCTGGAAATTGCCGGATATTGACAGCTTCGACGGGAAATAAACTGATGCAGATTTTGAATGCGCTTGAGGTCAACGTGAGCTCTTTGTTCACATGTTTATTTAGGTGTTGCACTTGACAACAGATGCTGTCGGTTTAACCAAAGTATTTACGCACTTTATCAACATTTAGGCCATCTCATTGAAACAAATGCCATCGTAAGTGAGAAGCACTGCAAGCTGAATTTTGTCACGCAGCAACATACTATTTTGCGAACAAATAAATAAACCGTATATTTCACTACTAGTGTGGCACTCGTTTGGAAGAACCAACCAAGATGCATGTGGGTATTGGGAATAATAAACAGCGAGAGATATCGACAAGTACATTGTCCGCATAAGTAGGGATAAGATGCTGAGTGATGGGGGAACATCCAATTCAGTCATCTTCCCTTGTTTCCATGATGGAATTGATAGTAAAAAATACCAGTACATAGGAATCCGACCCGGTTCACTGGACTGCGTTTCAGACTCCTTTAAATATAGTATTATCAATAATGCTTTAATAATAAAGTTACCAAGACTGCTTTGCGTCTTCAGAAATTGGGATTGATTTGCCCGGACACTTTCGACACCTGCATTATGCTTTCTTGGCTCTCTATCATAACACAAGTATATTTGCGAAGATAAAATAAATATATTCTCTATCTTCTAGATGTCATATGCAATCTTATGTAAAGGCTATCCTCCAGTAAGACAGACATTTACAGAAAGGTAATGTATGGAAATCGACAATGCAATCAGTAATTATTAATGTCAAATAAAATTAGCTGCCGACTGCAAAAATATTCCGTCGTATGTTGCATTCTTATATCAGATATGGTGCACGGATTCCTGTTGATTCGATGGATATTATAAGCAAATATACGCTTTGCAGGCAAACCCTTATGGTATGCCTCTCGACCAAATAAAAGGGGGAATTTCTTTGATCCATTTGCTATCTGGACATAAACAATATCCGGACAAGGTAATGAGTGTTACTTGGGTGTGTACCCCGTGAGGTCCATGCTTAGTCAATCAATTTTGATTTATTGATAGTCGTGACAGTCTGCGAAGCTGTCCAACCAAAATATCCATTCGAAGCCAAATGATATGTGATCATTTTGACAGACAAATATTGCTGGTGTTTGCGTACTTCGTAGATCCGTGGCTGTTACAACGAAACTTATATTAAGTAGATGTACGGAAATTGTGTATCATATAATGCGTCTGCTAGTTACACAGTCCATCCTCACAATAACATTGATATACCAATTTACTTTTTATGTATTTCCGTCAGAAAGCTACAACAATCCAGAGTGGCGCCGGAGGGCAGTGTTTACAATGTTGTACTTTTAATTGGCGTGTGTTTTTAGTGAATCAAACGTATGAGCCCTCTCTATCATAGATTAACGTTTTCTGCTGGGACGGAGTTAACAGTAGCTAGCTGCTACTACTGATGTTGATGAAAGCTGTAGTGCTGTTTGTTCGCCAGCTTCACGCACGTACAAGGTTTGTCCCCAGACCCAAGACATCTTCTTTTAATCCAGCAATATTCTTAGGGAAATTGGTACAGATGAGTGAATAATTGTTCATAAATATTCAAAAAGAGGTACTCGAATTATCATTTTTTAAAATTTTAGCCATTGTCTCTAATACTGTCACAGCAATATGCATCGTAGAGCAGTGTTCCACCAGTCTATATGTCGAACGGATATAAAAATAGAAATTGTAATAACTTCTTATGAATAAAACAAATATAGCTGTATTCAGAATATGGAAAACAACACTTCGTGCCAAATTTGCTTAGAAACCCTGGGAACACTTAAATGTTCCCTTTAATGACCAATTTATAAAATTTGTAAAATATGGATAAAATGATATTTTTCGCGTAAGTTCTTATCGCCGACTTCGGGAACGCAGCATATTTGCTTATCAAGTGATTTGCAGCCATAGACACCACAGAAATTCTACCAACAACCGTCCAGCCACCAAAAACTTCTGCTTTTAAAAAAGAGCGATTATTTGCGTTAATACACTAAAGGGTTTTATCTTATTTATATGTATATTGAAACAATTAAAAATGTGGAATTTAATAAACAAACACAGAATGAACAGCTATTGAATGGACAGAAACCATAAAAGTTCATATAAAAGAAATTAATATTTTTCTGCTATGAGTTGAATTTGAATTTTTGCTCCACAGCCTGAAGGAACTCTACCTCATCGGAGTAATACGAGATAAATGCTCAGATCCGTAAAGGAAATACTCTGAATCTTCAATAAACATCATTGCTCTGTGAAGGCGTCTGGCGCTTTTCCGGACTAGGTACTGCTTTGTAACTGTGGACTACTGGGATGAAAACCTTAAAAACATAAGTTTTTGAAAATCGATAATTTGTTTTAAGTATTCCTTGTTTTGGTTTTTAAGTTGAAACAATCCCAAATTCTCAGCACGGTTTTTTATGTTACAGCATCGAAACTTGGATTTTTACAGTTGGACGCTTTTGAAATTTTCTGATAGGCATTTAACGGATTAGCTCATTGTTTGATACCTGATTTCTTATCAGTTTTTTTTCTGTCAGTTAAAGATGTTACCCAGGAAATATACCGCCTAAAACCCTGATTGAATAAAGTAGGAATTATAACAGCAACTACAATAGTTGTGGAAAAAGGAGATTTTTTTCTAGATGCAATGCACACTATGAAATGATGATAATCGACATGACCGGTATTACGTAAAAATTGACCATTTATACCGCTTTACTATTTTTAGGAAGATTTTGTGTATGAGAAAGCAAAACATATTGCGTAATACAGTACTCCATAAGTTAATCGTTTTCCGGGATTGAAAACAATTTAACATAATACACAGTAGTTGCTGTTAAATTTTCTATTATTATCATAACTATAAACGAAACATCTGCGAACAGCTTTGTTCTTCCAGTGAATATGGATAACACAAAAAGATTAAAGTAAATCAGTAAGAAGGTACCAGCTTTTGTCATTTTACCCACAGATATGCAACAATAATTATGTATACGCTGCTTAAACCACAAGTTACTTTTTACTATTTGGTTGCGTTTATTACAGACTGATGTATTTCATAAACGTATAGCTCATTATCGACGCACCACTGTCCGTTAAATATAGGAAGTAAACCAGTTCAATAAAATATCATAAGAATAGTATGTTTTTGGAGGATACTCAAATAGTTTATCGAATTTTATCGAAAACTGCTAAGTATAATTCTGAAACAGGATTACTCTAATTGGGAAAGTCTACACCTTCGAACTCACTTCTTGTAATTGAATTTCGTGCTTTGTTAACAGCTTCAAAGCATCGCTATTCAAAACCTGAAAAAAGAAATGAAAGTAAAAGCAACACTTGGCAATAATTTAAACTTACAAATCACTGGATGGTAGAAGCAGTCAGTAAGTAGTACATGTATTTCGGCCTCCCAATGGTGAAAGGAAAGTAGCAAATATATAAGATTTCTTTACGATTGGTAACTAAGTGTAGTTTGTAAATGTTAATAAAATGTATTTCAATTCAGTTTAATCTACTTTACTTAGTATATGTAAATATATAATACGGCCAGCCTACATGAATTTACATTTGTGTTAATTTATTATACATTACTTTGGTTTTCCCGGTGAAGAAAAAGAAAGCAAGCTAAAAGAACCAAGATTGCAGTAGGCCTACGCAAAAATATGATTTTTCTGAAAGCCAGATAAAGACTACGCTGGCGAATCTCTTAATAACCGATTTCACTGGATAAACCGTTCGAAATGAAAGCATAAATTAAAAGCTGTAAAATGTTAAATATCTTCCAACTCCCTTATATCTGTGCGTCTGCTTCACAAACTAAGGCTTTTACTTTACATATTTAACATCACATAGATGCATGTTTTGAATAATCTATATCACATGTTTATTGAAATATCTGAGGTGATCAGTAAACCTATAATTTTATTTTAATACACAGAACAACTTAATTCGTAGATGGAAACAAATAACGGTCTCGATTACTTAACCCAAATCATTTGTAATTCCTAGACTTATAATCGTTGGGATTTGGAACAAATTTAGTTAGCCTCACTTATGAGCAAAATAATCAAGTACTTACACAAAAAATACTACTAACACTGCGATGGTTACTTTGCGGCAATCATATAAATTTTACTACTCCCTCACTGACTACTTGATTGGCAGTGTTGTGCGAAAAGTTCACGAGCATGACCGCATTAATAACAGACGCAAATACAATGTACCATTATTTCTAATAAAATGCCTCGTAGAACATTTACAGTGCTGCTCAAAGTAATATGGCAGTCCGAGTTGCTATAAGACGGATTACATCATAGTTATTAAGAAAATTTGAACGCCAAAACCCTACGTAGGATAATAGGAGAGCCGATGCATGAATTTACGTTAAATTAGTGTTCTATTGAAAATGGCTGCCAGTCACAATTTAAATCCGTAACGGCACGTGTACTGCAAGACCCACCTTTTGCTCTCTTTTTCATCCCAGTTACTACACTACATCTATAAGTAGTCGCCGTGAATTAAAAGCAACGGCATTTTTGTATTTCTATCAAGAACACAGCATTAGATACTAAACTTAGCTGGAAATGTAAATTATAGGCAGTGTTTCACTGATACCCACGCATAAGACGCTGGGTTGTTCTGACCGTCAAAACAGTTTTTAGTCGAACCCAAATTTCCAGCCAACGGCATTTGAACAAGCTCAAACGCTTTCGAGTTTTGTATCCTGTGGAGCATCAGTTGAGAATTACATGTCCGCACAGCGGAAACTAGCCATACCGCCAGCAATCCCGCCTCCCAATCTATTTACTTTACCGCAGGCAATAGTAGGATCATGCTGCGCATCACTGTCTACCGGAGTAACACGGTCGTTTGCATGATCAAAACTTTATAGTTAAACTATCGGACCGCGATATTTCCTATCGGGATATGAAAAGCTGCACCAATTGATACATACGAACTATATACCTCTTCAAACCTCAGCAGTTAGTGCAGTTAGTGCTGCCAATACTAGAGAGGTACCTGTGACAACATGTTTTCTCCAAACAGATACAGTAGCCACACAACCAACCGAAATTGTGAGCACAAGGAGAAATCAGATTTCTCTAATTGTAGTATGCTCCAGTGTGACTTCATAAGAGGCAAATGTTAGCAGAGATGCTACTATAAGAGAGAAAGCCATTGGAATCGAATGATTTTTTACAAGATGGCTGCAGCTAAGCCGGCCATTTAGATACTCGACGTCCGTCATACAAACTCTATACAACAAGCTGGAGTTTGTGTACTCCATATAACACTTCCTTCAAGAAATAATACATAAGTCGTGTTTATGACAGAATTTCATCACCGAGTTGCCTCATGCACTGTTCGTATGTCTTATGCTGTTTTAAAAGAAACGTCAAAAACTCAATATCCCCGACGTCTACCATAAAAATGCGCCCATGCTCTAGACCTCACGTTAGCTACAGGCCAAAGCACAAGATTGCAATGAGTGTCACTTCAACCGTGAAATGCTTTTTCTCAAAATCTTGCATACTAATAATGTATCCAGGCTAATATTATCACCAAAACGCAATGATGTGATCTGAAAGTGAGACAAGCAAACATTAATCCTAAATCATTGCGGAAATAATGCCTAAAATTTAGCTAAATATTCTGTCATCCGAAATGCATATAAAGTCAACGTACACCAAGCCAAAAATGTAACAATTATATCGAACAGGTACTCATCGTCTGTGATCTTGAGACTATGAAGTTCCGAACCTAGAGGTTATCACGTCACTGTGACAGCTGATGGGTGTCCAGATTATCAGCAACCTGCTGACACTGAACACTAACACAAACACAATTATCCCGGGAGGTTTAAGCAGTTCTGCATATGACAACCGACGTCCACAAATACGCTTTTAAACTTGGAGGCTCTAAGTTGTTTGCACGCATGTTGTTCTCAGTATTCTAATCGATATTCATGCTCGCCAGGTTTCAGGGCTTATGACATCGACAGATTAACCGAAATATCACGATATACTGAGATAACTAAAGCTGAGAAAACTCAGTACAGCAATTCTAAAGTGAAAAACTGGGCCCAGCAGAGGACGCGGAATAATCGTTTTTTACTATGTGACCTACATATTAATATTGTCGATGATCTAGAAATGCAGTTTGTGCATTTCATTTGCTAATCTCCGCACCTTTGATGTGATAATAAGTGGACACTAAAAGTTGTTTACCCCTCAATATATTTCCATTTAGATTGCGATATATTGCAAGTAAGCTACAATAATAACTTAAGACGCTAACGGCTCATGTTAGTTAATCACTACTGTTGACTTGTTTGACGATAAATTTGTTTCGCCATTAGGTATCCTAAATTGGAAATTCTTCCGACTCATACCGTTATTGCGCTGTATTAAGATTTTTAAAAAACGCCTTGATGACATCACATCCTATGTTCATCACCTGGTACAGTATGCTACAATCGGAATAAGAGATAGCGCGGACTGAACAGCGTGATCCATTGCCCATTCCAAACCGTGAGGAAAAGGCGTCAGCATATATGTGAATAGATTGGTGAAACACCCAAAAATCCATGATAACGTTAAGCAACGACTTGTTTATACAACATTTGTTAACCAAAAGAGTTCTTTAATAAATAGTTATAATGGGTGGTCTAGCTAAAATCTATGTACAACTGCGACCTAAGGGTGACGGTTTCATTAATTTAGAACCAAGTTTCAGATTAGATTTGAGGTGCCCCTACCCCTAATTGACAATTGTCACCTGCATGATATCGATCGTATTTAGCAATAATGCACAGGAGCAACTTCCAGTATGTTGACATTTCAGATACTATGGTGGAAATTAAAATAACAGCGTCTTAATTTTAGGCGAATAACAGTACAGATTGAGATACCGTATCAAAGCTTAAACACAAATTAGTGCATTAACATAAAACTTAGTAACGGAAAAAAGGTAATTTATATTCCTATTATGCAAGACAAACCTACTATGGGCAGTTGCTTTAAAAATTTATCAGGGCATATATTTTGTATGATAACATTTTTATGCTAGCCATATTGAGCTAGGCAAACTGCATTGTATTCTTCTTTGGCATGATGCAAAAGAGCAAGAGGGTCAGAAAGAATGTTGAGTTTCCAAGTAAGCCAAATTGAATAGAACTTTTTGTTCGTTATAATTGTTCGTTCTGAATCAATCTACTGGATTTTTCGACTAATTGTTTTGATAAAAAAGGTAGTTGTTGTAAGCAACTACAACATTAAAAATAAATGTTTTATATGGAATGTCATTGGTATTTGTATACAATGTGCTGAACTTACCTCTGGCATCTCAGACCAGGCCACGCGGAATGCACCGGGACTGGAGAGCCCGAGGTAGCCAAGACGCGGTTGCTCACGTTCATTTGATATTTCTGTTTCCGAAGGAGACTGTCCATTTTGCGGAAGTCGCGCATTTGGTTGTTCCGAAGTCGCATCCGGAAATTTCGCAATTTCTGTCGCGGGAGGTTTAACGGTATGAGTAAATCGAGCCGCAGGTGGATATTTTTCGAGCTGAAACAAAAAGTATATGCTTACTAGCCCATTGCATGAAACAAGGATATGTTAGCAAGAGGTACAAGCTGTCGCACAATTTGTGGAAAGAGTTATATGAAACCTTGCCTCAATCATATAAAGCTTACTTATCATGCTTTTAGTAAACAAAATTCACTTTAACAATTACGCGTGGAACCCAGCAACTTTCTTACTTGTTCGTTACGTCAAATTAGGTGTATTTATAAGGTAATTATAAAATAATCAATTTAAATTAGGATTATTGATGACCGCTTCGTGTGCCAAGACGTTAACAAAATCTGAGTTGTTTTTACAATGTACTTTGGTTCTGGAATGTTCAAAGATAAACGATTTGTTATTTCAGCCATAAAAGTCTTCAGGAAGGCACAGGTTACCGCAGCAGTTAGGTTAGCTCCACAGTTTATTTAACTCTGATTTATCAGTTGACTCGCTAGTATTAAAGTAGGACAGCAACTATGTCATAGGAGGAAAACTTATATGGTAAAAGGACGACTTGGTCATGACTTGGCAACTAAAGGAATTTTGTTTGCCTGGATGCAAGCGTGTTAATGTATTTGTCAGTGAACGAAGCCAAAACGCAAAATGAGCACTAGAATAAAGAATGAAGTGTCTAGTCCTAAAAGTGTGGGGGAAAAATACAGCAACCACACAATTTGGCACATTCATAATGACGGTATATTGGCGAATCGCCACGCACTGATCTTTAAGTTTGGATCTTTTATCGTACGACAGATCAGTAAGTGTCAGGCTTCATTCTACTGATGAATCTGGGTTAGTCAGAACTTGGTGAAAACCACCTACTGAAGGGAACAGCATAAATACAACTTGCAAAGTGAGGATACAACAAATAGGGGAACACGATGAGTAAACGTTTTGGTGATGTGTTTAGCATGAATAAATGTAGCTTTTTCGTACAGCAATTGAACAAATCAATATTTCCCTTTAGATCTTCTTCGGTAAATCATGCGCATAGGAAATATTGGCCAGGCGCCCGATTTAAGGAAATGTACCTGCATGTTCTTAAAACAAATTAATGTATCTTGGATGTATCTTGGATCCATTTGAATATACAGAATTATTTTTATAAAAGTGAGGGAATTTTGGGTTTTACCTATCGCATTAAATGATATATATTGAATGCACGTAGCGGAAACAAACTTGTGAAAATAGGCTCGCGTTCTAGTGTAAATTTATCGCAGCTTCAACGAATAAAAATGCTGTAACATCCACAACAGTAATTGTGTTTACCGATTGACAAGTTTGAAATCTTGATTTTAACTTATGTCATACAGAACTGAGCTGCGTAAGAAGTCGACAAACATGTATCATCTATGCATGGGCCAGAATTCACTTAATGTAGGAAAAGAATTAAAGTATTGAGATAAGTCACACCTAACTAGATTTATACAGTTATAATCTCAATACGTGTAGTTCTCTTCCACCACATATTTTACTTCCAAATGTAGTTAGCTGTACGCCTGAAATTTGATGACTTGGGATAATTTTGCCTCCGCGTTTTGTACAAATGACGGATAGTATAGTTTCAAAAATCAATGCGTAGGTCTAACAAATAAAGGGTAAGTGTTAACTCCTCCGAAGTATTGCTTTTCCAGTCATATACTCGAAATATCCTAACTGGATATCAAAGCGCAAATGGATGTCTACTAGAAAAGTTATCATAATAGTTAAGAATGAGCGCAGAGAATTAAAAAGAAGACTTACTTGCAAAAAATATATGATTATTGTCTGTATTTTATGTAGCCTGTTTGTCGCTTTGGTGACATAGGTAGTTTTACATCCTAATTATTGTTTTAGTAATAAAGGCTTTTCGTAATGTTGCTATTTTTATTTTAGCTATGTTTTAAACACTGTTTAAGAGGTAGCTTTTAGCTTTACATAAATTTCAAGCCCTTTTAGTGTTGTATCTAACAATAGGGATACTTTTGTTCAAAATCACGTTTCTATATCTTTACAGAACATTTAATGCAATATAGATGGACGAAAAAACACAACTTGTGTTATCAATTTTAACATAGTCGAAATGAGACAAAACAAACCATAAAATGAACAATGTAATCGCTTTTGAAACCAACAATTGCTGTGCTGCACAATGATGGTTTTAAGAAGTTCCAAAAGGTTACGAGAAGTCTAAAGATGAAAAGTGTTGTGGAACGCAATTAGAAGTAAACAACGACCAATTAAATGCCTTAGTTAAAGCTTATCCGCATAAATATACTTGAGTTCCTACTGATAACCCAGCAGCATAGATTATGCAATTTTTGAAACATTTACGAGGGATAAGATTGTTGGGAATGCTTGATTAGTGGTGCAGCACAAAATGAATGAAACTCAAAAGCTCTTTGAAATCACTTCTGCGCTTCTTTTGCGCAATAAAATCGGTTGGGTTGTTGACCGGATTTTGAGTTGCGATGAAAAGTGGAGCTTTTATGAAAATGATTAGACCACGAAAAAGCTTCACATTACTTCACAAAGAAAAAATGGTTATGATGAATGCTTGGCGGTCTGCGGCTGCTCTTTTCCACTACAACTTTGAATCCAGAGTAAGCCAATACAGCGGTGAAGGGTTGTCAGCAAGTTGTCGAATTGCACCGAAAAATGCAATCCATGTTTCGACACTATTCGGCATCAAGGGGCCAATTTTTCTCCATGTTAACGTTCCGCCGCACGTCGCATGCACAAACCCGCGAAGCTGCATGAACTGGGCTACGACACTGTCATGTCCTCCAAACTCTCCTGACCTCTCACTAGCAGATTACTAACTTTTCACCCACCAGTTTAACTTCCTCTAAGAAAAAGATTTAAAACCCAAGCAGGAGCTGAAACCGCTACCGGAATTCCGGAATTTTATTCACCGTATATATAAAATTGGCACCCATTTACAAAAGCTGTCAATTAAAGGTTTAGTATTTGGATAATTTTCTTACTTTTGATTCAAAAATGAGATAAAAACCACAATTTCTTTTTCAAAAACCTAGTAATGGTCGACGATCGTGTACCTTATATTAACTTTTGAGGCGAATAACATTTGAATAAAAACTTGGAGATCAAATACAGTATATGTTTTAGGTGGAGCTGCGTAATCCGTACTGCTGTGCAATTTAAATCGAGTAAATTAAGTATTGCCAACCATTCCGTTTTTGTTTGCGAATCTGTGATATTTATTCGGTTGTAAGAGTAATTTTCAGTTAACCGCAAAGGTTATTTGTTCGTAAATCAAACATATTATCCAGCCGAACATCTCGAAATAATAATGACACATTTGGCGGAAGCAACATCTGTAGCGGAAAGTCGTATGATGACCAGCCAATGTAGAGAAAATGTGAAGTTATGGACTACAAATAACAAATATCCAACTAATGATAAAAATAGTTTTAATTTTTGCACCACTGGTATAAAGCATGCCAGGGTTTTGCACAGTTTCTCATAGTAAATTGCCGTTAGCATCGAAAACACTTGTCATGTATGCCACTAAGGAAGTGCGCGTTCGAGCTCAGGCGAACACGGAATATGTTGGGTAGATTTGTCAAAATATAGCGTACCAGACCGTAACTGCACACCCAAAATGCGATAGATGAACTAATGTCTAACTGGAACGATCCAGCATTAAGAGCTCCTTTAGATTGTACTAAAGCAAAGCCATTGACTCCTTTGGAAAGGATGACGATGAAACTCAATTTACTTTTTACGGACTCGGAGTACTGTCACGATCGATTTGTGGCTACAATAAGGCGCGAGTCACACCACATTTCCAAATTATTGCTTGCGGCATTATATTTCGTCAGTAATCGGACAAATATTTTTTGCGTTCCAGTGATTTGACGCATTTAATGGTTTACATTAATATCTCTTGAGTACAGGTAAAAGAGCACCGTTCATTGAAGAGTAAACAAACAGGATATTTCCCAAACGGAGAAAATATTTGCGTTGATTTTTTCAGTTGTTCAATTTATCGTGCTTTTTGCATCGACGGCATAGAGAGCAGCCATATGTTACATCCCAAAACGCCGATGGAAGCACCTGATGGATTCTGTTTCAGTTTAATCACATTTTTCAAAAATATTGCAGACGATACTTACAATTTTCAGGAAATATATCGAACGTAAAGATGTTTTAAAATACAGAATAGTTAAAAGTAATGTCCAGCGGTTAGCCTAGTGGTAAACGACTTTTGTAAACAATGGCACTCATCCAGGACACACGGAGATAGGGACATTAAGGGTAGTCGTCTGGCTAATTTAGAAAATGAGCATTATAAAAGATCCCCCAAATCAAAGAGTTGTTGTGTTCTTGCTCAACTAAGTTCAAATACAAATGAGTCATTAAAACTGTGGTTTAAAAGAAAATTCATTTTGCTTTGATCATGTAAATTTGATATTACAATGGCTTATTTTGACGTAACTCTCGCTCTATATAATTATTATAGTTTTTCTATTCTGGATTCATATTCGTTGCCAAAAAACCACAAGTTAGATGTTTAAATGTGGTTGCTAACATTGAAGGTCGTTTACATGACGTTCTGTAAAATTGTTAGTTGAATTTCCTGCAACCAACACTGTGTGAGATCCATATAAATAATGAATAATGCGATTAATAGGCGTATTTTTCCTCCATGTAGTTAAATACGAATCGGATCAACAGCTCAAATAGAATGTGTGGTACAACCCCATTATATTAGCTTGTCATTCGTCCCATAGGGTAGCGGGTTAAATGGAATTTCAGCATACCCTTAGCCAAGGGTAAATTTTGAACAAGTTAAACGCTCTGCTTTAACCACATGAACAAGACTGTACTAGGTAAGCTAATTAATTAAGTATGCGTACTCAATTTTGAAATAATGAGGTTAATCGAAAACTTCATTCAACAATTTCTCCAGCCCACAATGAGTATATATGAAGTTATCGTCTAATATTACGTACAATAAGCTGGATTATTATGATGTGTGTTCCAGCTTGCAATTATTGCTTGTTCCTAACAGAAATATCTCTTGAATATAAAGGTACTTTGGTGAGTTAATCCTGATTATTTTTCTAAAACTTTTTCATGTACAGTGCCAAAATAGCAGAACCTACCGGCATTGAAACAAGAACAAAATGTTAGAGGAGTTCAATAGTACAAGGTTTTCATGTTGAGAAAAGAAATTGAGCGAAACCAACACCATAAAATTTTACTAATCTGAAGATATTATCACCTTCACTTACTGTCATATTACTAAAAGCATCGACCTTTCGCGGATAAATATATGCTACACAAGAACAGCAGTTTTAACGTCTTTGATGGAATTTTAGGCATGCTATACACACTGAGATTAAAAGCGACACGCCTAATTGTCAGCACATTAATGTTAGAAATGGTTGACTTCTATTCACTCTTTTCGACACCTAGGCAAAACATCAGGTCTTATTTGCTAATGGTGACAAGAAAACGTGGGTACGTATTTCTGTGATTAGGTGGCCAATAAATAGGTGCATTTATGCTATCCTTGTGCCTTCAGCTAATGTTAGCACTTAGCTTATCGTTGCTTAGAGTTGCATTATGTGGGCATTTTGCCGTTCGTAAGAATGTAACACTGCGTTTTCCTTTCTACAATCTGAATAAAAATTTTTCAAATACGCTTAGGATACGTTGATCATTCGTATTCATAAATAAACACGCCGTCTTACGAAATGTATTGTATGTAACAGAGAGACTTGGGTATCAAAAAATAGGTTTTCTTGTAGTTAGCTATAAAAGTTCTCGGAAATAGAAGCCAGAACTAAACAGACTGAAACTTAAATTTTAAAAATGAAAGAAATTTGAGGGTATCACAAGGAGTTTCCGATTGGAAAAACGTGTTCAAAACCTGTAATTATGAAATCATTAAACCCATGAGTTAAATTGCAATTATGTATTCCTCCCTTGCCATATGTATGAAGTGGATATAATGTGCGGATCTTATTATATAGAAGACAAAAAGGAAAGATAAACGGGGCATGTATGGGCTGCTTTGGAATATTCATGAGCAGCGGTCCATTTGTAATGTTGCCAGCGCCAAAACAACCCTTTCACTTTGAAGGACTTTGTTGGCTCATTTAATTTACACTGGGTTAGCTTTGGCCAAAATTATCGTAAATGTATGGAGGAGTGCTTGAAACTTTGCAATCCAGACTTTACTCAGTGACAGACACCTATTTACAGAAACTTTAAGCACAATGTGGCATATAACCTTAAATACATTAGTTTGGTTGATTGCGTAATAAAATAAACCTAAGCCTTTTGTAAGCTGGTGCTTATTTGAAACGTTCAGATGAATTCAGGTCAAAGCACAGAAGCCGAATTAACGCCTATCACCGGAAATCATCGCTTGCCTCATTAGGTAGAAAAACGTTTATAATATGAGTTAAATCACTGTAATATTCAGTCACAACAGTTCACATTAACGAGCAGCTTTTAACTTTTATGACAATCAATTTTTAACTTTTATTAGCATATAGGTGTTGTCAAGTTAATTTTTCTTTAAAGCGGGAAAGTGACCAATTCAAGGTATGCTTAAGATACTTTATAAACACCGCAAATCTGGAAATTAATTCTTGCATGTTTCTCAATTTTACTGGGACAGCCAAATGTCATACACCTACTGTTTTAGAGAGTATGGTATTCTGATCATCCGCAGCAATTATCTAAGATAACATATACTAGTTTCTTAGTAATAAAGGTTTTGGCTAAAATACAGACAATAATAATAGTACAAGGGACATGATGCAAGCATGGTTCAATCAGATCGGCGATTGGCATCAAGCAAATAAGCTTAATTTTGCTGTGCACTCCGGATAAATCCGAAACACGCAGCAGATATTCTTATCGTTGATGTGATCAGCTTAGTGTGCTACTGCCAAGCCAATGTTAAAATCGGATATCGAGTACTAGGGTTTACTTGTCATGAGCAAGAAATATCTCTATTGATAAAAGTGCATTAACCGGTCAGAACAACAAAAGTGTTCCTTGGTGGTCTTTATTCATTATTCGGGTGTAATAACTGTAGTACATAGTTCGCGTCATTTTTTATTCTGACGCACAATTTCAGAAGTCTTATGAACACAAACCGTGTTATAGCATGAAAGAGACGCCTAAGTAAATCTCAGTGAGGCTTCATTGGGTTACGCTACCCACTACACGCTACTCAACACCACAACGATGTCACGTAGAATGGTGATGCAACATGCTCTACCAAACGGACAACCCCAGCGAACATTTTTACCATCACATATTTTGACATTTAACTTGTTGACTAATATTTCACTTAACAGGCTTATTGTACTTGGGTATATTTTTACTGACAGACGAACAATGTACGCAATAGAAATTCCACACATGTTTCTATGACGTAAGCATTCGACAGGGCGCATTAATGAGCGAGTTGTGATTAGTAAAACTGATGCACAATTAATGAAGTAAAAAATATTTAACTATGATGTAAAAAGCAAATTTTGTTCAAGGAGTGAGCATTGGAAAGAATCTTTACGGTTTCAGAATTATTGTGAATAGCAGCAACTCATTCTTTGTTGATGTATTGTTGTGAGCTGCGTGATGAAATTAGTAGAAGGAGGTTATCATTTGTTTAGTTTTACCATATGGACATGGCATGTATTAGGCATTTTGTTCGTAATCTCAATGTGTAGGCTACATTCAGCGATATGTCAGTTTGAAGATGTACAGTGAAAATCACTTTATACATTATTTTAACCATCATTTAACATATTATATTTCCTAAAGTTCATCATATGAATGACTCTTAAGTGTTCTTAAATGACTGAAAAATCAAAGCAAATACTCACGTTTTCCATTCCTTCTGTTAAACCCTCATACTCCGCCAGTGGTCGCTGAAAACTCATTGCTTCTACGCCGCCTTTTACCGATTCATCTGATTAATGGAAAACAAACAATTCCGATTAAGAGAGACTTTGTAATGTGTAACTTCAATATAACTGAAGGAGGCTAAGAAATATTATTTCACTTATACATTTAATAAAGGCCATATATTATATAACGATGAGACACAAAAAGATTGAAAGAGGATTGAGCTTATTATTGCTGTATAAATTGTGTCAATGAATGGTTCAACCAAATAAAATGCTAGAAATTGTTCCAGGTTACCTATATATTCTGTAAATATAAAGTGAAAAAGGGACTCCATGTATAAAGTGACAATATACTGTGCCGGCTAACCTAGGTCAATTTTGACCAGGGCACATTTGCTGCATTAGTGTTGCTGAGAATTTAAGTCATTAATTTTCAATAAGGTTTAACTTTGCTAGAATAATTTCATAACAGATTAAATATCGTCAATGCCATTATTTTATGCAGTATTTTAAGCTATCTAATCTATAATGTTCACTGGAATGTTTACCAAGTTTATTGGTCCCTTTACAGATGTCTCGTTATCATCCTGGAAAATTTCAATAGGGATTTTCGGGCATTTCACTTTGCCAAGCCGCATACTGCGGTTAGCACTGCCTTTCCACCTTGCCAATGCTTATATAACATGCAAAGATTGGTTCATCACGTCGGTTATTTATCCGATAACGTATATGGATGAAACAGACTGCTCTATGCTAAACATCAAAACTAGTTGAATGGATTTTATGTATGCTTAATTAAGGAAAAGCTAATGTAATGGGTAAGACTGGTTCCGAAAAGAGAGAAATATATTACAGGTCAACCATATAAAGGATGTCCTATAAGAAGAGCATCTTCCACAGTAAGATATTTCAATGTTTAATGAAACGCTAACATCACTTATCTCGGTTCAACCGCCGTAAAGACCAGCCAAAAGTATCATATTTGGAAGACTTTCAGCTGCGTATTTTCACGTTTCTATTTAGTCACATGCATATGTCAATCATAGACATACTTAAAAAATTTAAAATGTGTCATCTTTTTAATAGTACACAGATAAAAAACTTATTAATTAGTTGTGTGTTAAACAGGAGCAAATTCTGACTGGAATAATATTGGCTCTATTATGCTGAACTCTCACCCTGTCCCAATTTTAGCTATTGTATGTATGCTTACAAGAAGCTCGTTAGATTACTGGTTTGATAGGTTTAAGCTCCTACAGTAATGTATTTAGCGAACGGTAATATTTATTGTTTGCATGGGAATATAAACAAGAACCAATACAGATTGCGTCGCTGTTCATGAATAAATACACTTTGCATAGCAGTGCGTCTATCTTCAAAAAGCTAGTCTCTAACTCACTATATTTCTACTCCTTTTTAAATTTCCAAGGTGTCTCTCAGCTTAAAGCTTCATATATTCAGAATATATTATTTTTGATAAATGGTCTAGCGCGGCCAACAGGAATATACTATGGATGTCAGTTATTGATGATCAGGGAATAATAGAAAGCACTTCACTAAAATCCGTTACTTTTGAACAGTTAATAGGCCAATTTAAAATTTTTTTCCTTGTATCTCATAACAGCACTTAGAAAATGAATGGGCTCTGTATAATCGATAGATATTAATTATGTCAGATTGGTGTCAAAACAACCAACTTACACCGTCACACAAAAAATGTTGCAATGTAAGCAGCTTTTGAATATTTTTGAATGCTGAATGAGAAAACCTGCAGTACGATGTCGCTGGACTGCATTTGCACACATTATCAACACCACCTCTGTTAACATAGCTACACATCTGTTTCACTTAATCAGTTGTTCTTTCGTTAAATCATGAGATTTATCTCACATTTGACGGGTTCACATGGAATATAGGAGATCCTCCTACCTTTGAGCATCAAAATATCTACACACGGTTGGCACATTGAAGTCGTACCGCGATCGACTGACATGTTCGATTGCTGTAAAAGCTCTCATCATAGTGGGATTATGAGTGAACTTTGAAAATCCAGTGTTTGTGTAAAAACGATAGTTAATTAAAAGATTCGTAGCGGGCGCGTGCTTACATTGTTGCTGTAATGTCAACAGTACTAATTTTACACTAGATTCTATTCTACAGTGATTACCTTATTTGTGCTTCATTGATGCACTTTGTACTTTGTTTACCCAGTAACAGTATAAAAAAGGTATTTTTACATCTTTGTTGGATGTGTAGCATATGGTGATAGAGACGACGCTAGTTTCTAATCGTGTCACTAAAACGTTACAAGCAATTTGAAAGGCACAATTATATTCCGTGGAACAAAGACATATTGTCCGTAATTAATAATAAATCAGCACAAACCTAACAGAGTTAGCAGTGTGCTTCGTAGGACACTTAATGAAGACAACTCGCATTTATGACTCGAGACCACAAATCACGAGAATAGTATTCTGCTTATTTCATGCAAAACTAGATTGTTGTCCGCTAATTCAATGAAATCTGTTGATTTCTGAATTATGATGGCTTCTGACAATCCAAGGTGGTTTGGTAATCCATAATATGCCTTACTTGGCTTTGTCAAAGGCTAATCTGTTCTTGATGCACCATCTCCTGATGGCCCAGTAGTGAATATGAAACCACCTTAGGTTGAATGATTGTACCGTCTAACAATATGCAATGATCGAATATAAAACACCTTTAATCTGCTTTGAGTAAAGGGAAAGAGTCTTACAGTAATTTGCAACTTTACCTATACCGGCATTGGATATATCAAACGACGAGCACTGCACACCGCACCAATATTTCGCAGCTTCTTTCAGCATCCGCTCTGTTGATTCATCCAGCAAGTTAACCAGAGCATCCGTTGTCTGAGTCACTTCGATCCCTTGACCTGACAGAGGACATCCAACAGCAAACCAGGTGGTGGGTAGAGAAGAATACTCCGTCTGTTCTGTCGGCTCTTGTATCTTTGTACTGGTCCCTGAAGCATTGGTTTCTGTTTGCTGTGACAATTGACTGCTCAATGCAAGCTGAATAAAAATATGATTCGAAAACTTATGTTAATATTTTATGCACCTTTAGCTACAATTTTCTAGTTTGGGCAAATATATGTCAGAAATATACCAGCATTTAAGTACATGTTTTGGGATACTTGGAGCAATTTAATGAGATAAATTTGTTAAACTTATATGGATTTCTATCATTGTTGTAGGCACCAACATAACATTTTACGCGAAACAACAACTGGGAGGGTAAAAGCGTTTAAACTTCGGAAGCTCTTGACGACTTCAATACTTTTGCTCAAGGATGTAATGACGTCTTCAGAAATGTGTGCTTATTTTCACTTAAGCGACACTAAAACCTGGGTCATCATACACTTTTATCTAACGAAGTAATGTAGGTATAGATTAACTTCCTCTATTTAAGCTCATATGCACAGTCTCATTCACTTTCAGGCCATTTCAGGGAAAATTACGTTTAGTGGTCTTTCGTGCTACGATTTGAAGTCCGTTGACAACACGAACAGGCTATATCGTAAGAGACCGCGCATGCTTTGTGTGCTCAAATGTATCTTCGGCAATTGGTCTGAAGGAAATGCCACTCACCTCTTGTCTTCCATCAATAGACTAACGCCATATTACGGATCGCCCGCCTACTTTTCGATTCTCTAGGCTAGGCGCATAAGATCGAACAAGTCGAACATGTCGCGACCAGGTTTATCTCGAGTTTACGTGGCTTGGGTTATAAATAACGTTGTGAGAAACTAGTGCTCTACACCTTGTCTTACCATAGGGTGCGAGCCGACCTCAGTATGACCTATCGTATTCTACATCTCGGTGACTTTCCCATGCTGAGGCTAATGCTGCAGTTACGAGGGCCATGCAACGTACGCGGACACAAGTAAAAACTTGTGGTGCCGGATGGGCTTCGAACGGAGAGTATTAAATAGTTGGAACAGTTAGCCTGAACATGTAATGGAGGCAATATCTGTGCAGTAGTTCAAAATTTCTTAGCTCTATATTTTACTACTATTTGATCCAGAAAACGATTTCACACTCAAGATGACATATCACATTTGTGAGTCCTACAATGCTGATATTTTACAAATTATATGAGAACGATAACGATATTCACGGATAACAATTTTTTATTTTTATTCACCAATTTTCGTAAAAGCTTTACAGAATTCATTTCAACTTGCTCTATAATACAGTATGCAGTAAGAGGTCTTCTAATATCTAGCCGATACAACATAGAATAAGTTTTGTAAAGGCAAAGTTAAGATCGCTAGCCCATGAAAAGTGGCGATTTGTAGTCTATTTCCTCTATGTTGCTTAACACGTAAGGCTATCTCGAATCGTTTCTTTCATGGATGAATTATCCTGTAGAATTTGGGATGCTTTGAAATTGGTTAGTGTTTTGAAAGCAGAAACTAATAAAGAGTACAGTTTTCCTTTTACGGAATTTAATATTATAATATATAGACAATGCATGATCAATAGATATATAGAAAGTAAAATCAGTTGAATCAAAAGCTTGGCAAAATCCTGAGCAAATATATAGTAGCATTTTAGGTAGAAGGGTATATAAAATAATAAACGAGTTTTAATGTTTAACATGGACAAGCCAGTTTTTGATTATAAATTTTGCATCGTAATGTTATCTGGAATAAAAGTAAAGTTGTATATGTTAGTTCATTTCTATATAAGAACTATCGGCGCAACGCATACCGACTGAGATTTAAGGCTTTTTGGTTCACCCTGTTCGCGATATCAAACCAGCCTCATTTGTTTTAAAATGATGATGTAACAGTTATAACTTTTAACGTATTTTAGTTTATTTTACAAAAGTTGCTTCAAAAAGCACACTTTAAAGGGCGAAATTTATCACAACTTTATTTGTCGGAAAGTACGGTTCTAAGGTAAGACAAAAAAGTAATATAATTGGCTAGTAATGTGCCTCTAAAGCTTACAGCAAATGACTACGATACGACGGAGTAGATTTTCCGTGCGCTTTAACAATTATCTTATTATCCAATCAACATATATGAATACCCAGAAATCCACTTTATCTTGCATTTAGCGAAATGTAGCAAATGACTTTTTGTGCAGTAACCGAATTGATTCAACCTTGGATCCTATGTTCCTCAGAAACGCAAACAGAGGAAAATATTTTGTGCACCTATTTCATATGTTTGGTAAAACATTGCATGGTCATACCAACATTTTTAATACGTAGACACACCTATTCGCGCAGGCATTTGCTGTCTAAGCTTGATAGCATAACATTGGCTGATTGGTGAATTTGTTCTCGGAATTGACAATATTTAAAACCCGTGTAAGGAGGCCAATTTCTAGCGCCAGCTTAGAGTTTGACGACACAAAAGCAGCTATTTTAGGAAAACCAGCGTCTGCACTACTGCCTTAAAAATAAATTGGGAAGAATTTTCATCATGAGTAAGGCGTTAGCTGTTGCATACATCATGCAGAAACTCATTGACCGTAGTCACTTTTAGAGGTCCAAGTTATAAAATACTACAAATGCACGCCAACCATCCAGACAAATGCTGTGCGCATGTCAAACATAGAATTTGTCGATAAATCAGCCTGGTTCTGTAAGCAATATTTTAATAATTAGAATCGAGATATGAACAAATATAACGCCCGCATCCAAAATTGCATGTGTTTTGGAATCATCTAACCTGTAAAACTGATTTTTTTTCTATCTAACCCCATTTGGACGTTTACTTAAAAAATAGAAATGCATTTTTGAAAGGACGCATTCACTTGAAAAAGAATGAGTGCAGATTTCATCCATCGCACCCATGCAGCGTTATCCGGCTGACTGCGCATGAAAGATAGGGAGCAGTAGCTGACAATAAAAGCAGAGAGGACTTTCATTGCCAAAACAAAGCAGAAACTTTCCGTTATTTAGATGATAATATCCCATTTCACAACCTCCTAAAGTAATGAATGTCTACTCATTCTCTGATTTTGTTGTGTAATTTCTGCGGAAATGCCGCCTGAAACGAAGTATGCGCAGTTGTCTGCTGGATGCACCGGAACAGTGTAGTGTTGGAGACATATCAGTTCTTTAATTAATAATGAAAACATACGGATTGTTTTTTCGAAATTCTTGCTTTACTTCAGTGATAGATTGTTCAACAGGTGAGCAGGAGATCTTAACACCATGTAGGCGTTCAAGTAGGTGTTTGCAACTGACCGTCAATAAAAGTAGATGGTATATCATTTGCTCATAAACGGCATCGAAATGCTTATATTTTAGGTTTGATTTACAAGAGCTAAATGCGCAGATTCAGCAAGATCTAATGCATTCGGAAACGATTATTTGCTTTGTGAAAGGAGATAAAAAGTATAGTACCAAAAGCGGCACTGCTGGATGTGACTGTTCCGACTCTCCTTAGATGTACAATTCGTGCTTCCGCTCTAAAGATAAATATTTTACTAAATACGCTTGGCGTCTCGGCGGCATTAATGTATCGTGCGAAAGAACATCAATCCTGGGGATGAGATAGTCAGAGGTCCACCGTAATTTTACTAACAGCACGAACAGGAAAAGTAAAATATTTAAGTTGCTACAAGCAGTAGTCTCATGGCAGCCTTGTATTGGTTTGATAGTGCACGTAGGACTCTAAATGTCCTATATGTCGCAGCTCGCTAGATATCGGCTCTTACGTCGGACTTCGAGATAAGTACTTAAAATCGTCTAGTGATACATCAGTAGATGGCATAGTCAAATAAATCAATACTTTAAGGGTGCCACCCGTGGTGCGCTTTTCAGAAGTTGGTTGTTTATTATCGGATAGTATACAACAAACGACTGCATGGTGTTTTGACTAATGAACTTTTAAAACTGACTGTGACACTTTAACAATTCTTGTTATCACAGCTTGCTAAGTGGGGATATGCGACACGCATATACGAAACATAGTGCAGAGAAAAGCGATTCAAATTTCCTTGTATGTAAATTTTAATTATAAATATCCTAATCAGTCGGATACGGATTCCGCCTTCCTATCGTTGTTTATCATTGGTGAATTCCCCGAGTTGTTCTGGGCAAGTATACAGTTTGCAATTTATTTGAGAGGCAATTCAATTTGTTATAATAAGGGTCTTAAAGTTTGGGTTCTAACTATGGGAATCATACGAGTCTAGTTAAAGACTGACGCGATCGCGCCTGCTAGGTAAGAGCCTAATCATTACTGAGAGGGATTTACAATATTTCAGACTGAAAAGCAGACCATAAACACCTCTAGGCTAACTGTTTAATTCTATTCGCGTTGTTCATTTTTTGTGCCACGTGAAATGCTATAAAACACAATATTTAGGACAAATACATTTTTTATTACAACGTGTCTTGAAGAAGTGAGTTCATATTTATTAATGTTACTTAGATTTTATGACAATAAACTGTTAAATTACGTCTAATTATCTTAAGGAACAATCGTTTTCTTAGTTATACAAATTAGAAAGGCGAATAAATAAGCAGCATTGAGCATTTGGCATTAATCTGAGTTCGGCTTTTGAATTTTAGTAAGGGTTGTTTTCCGGTGGCTGGCATTTATTGTCAGTTTTCACCATTCCGTAAATGAGACTGCTGCTAGTTAATGGGCATGACCGATTTCTCAGTAATTGCTTTACTGAACTCATTGTTTAATAAAACGTTAAGCTCTTTGTCACTTGCTCCCACTTTTGCTGATTTGGTGCAATATACGCAGATCTTCGCAAATATTTTTAAGTCATTCCTGCTTATCATTGCTTTAACCGACATCAGGCACCATTTTATGATGCTAACTACGCGTTTACACAGTCATTTGAAATTTGTGTGAAAAAATAAGGTGGACACGACGGCGTTAATGGAGATTCATCCGGACTCTCGGTTCAGCTTCGATGCATTAGCTGCAAAAAATGGTACCGGAGGTCGACCTGTGTGATTACTACTTTGTATGCAGATTGGTATGCGTAACCATAAATGTTGGACATTCCAATTAGTTTGCAATGTACTAGTGTATTCCGAAAATCGATCACTTTCGAACATACAACCAGAAACATGTGGCGCCGAAGATGGGACGAGAACAACTGTCATAGAACCATTAGGCCATTTACACATGCGTATGGTCAACAAAGCACCACATGGGAGTTTCACGATTTTATCGATCAAAAATCTGACATTTAACTATTTTGGTAAAAAGCATTGCTGCTTATGGTTGCTGCATTCTACGCAGAGTAAGACAGCCGGATCTGACGCAAAGGTTTTAAGCGTTACAAATTCACAAGGACCTGAATAATCTAAAGGAATGTGCCTTGAAATGTCACTAGAAATTCCTCGATAACAGGATGGCATTCATCGAGTTTCAAGAAAGTTCATGATTACATATATGCAACTAATTTCCTTTTAATTATACCTAATGAAAATAGGTCACAAATGCAGGTGAACAAATAATGGCATCATATAAACTGAACGCGTCAGTTACATGATGGAGGGAGCACAAATATCTTTTACCCCAATCATTATGTTTTGGCAATTTAATATAAACATTTCGTACACCGTTGTATTAGAAAATATTCAACGGCTATTGAATGTGCAATCGCAGCAAGCGGATGCAAGTCGAGGAACTTATATGTGTTTTTTCTGTATTTTGTTACGTAAAGTAGAATAGCCACAGTGCTCTTAGACATCAAGCATTCATTGTATTTTAAATGTTTCACGATTTTCGTTAATCAGCAAAAGGCCTAGTCTTTCGATGACATACAGAACGTATTGTGCCAGCCTAGAAATTAGGTAATTGAGAAAATTATCAATATCCCGTTAGGAAGCAATACTTTTGCTGGGTTCATTCTGGAATAACTATGCGCTAGAATTTCTTCCTGGTCAGATACGGATACCTGTGGAATAAACTCTTAATCCCACTCAGGGCTAGGATGATGTTGCAAATCTAATACCAAGCATTAAAGTTATCTTGAACGGAATAATGAGTAAAAGCCAAAAGTCTTGTAGTGAACTTTTCAGGAGGGCCCTACAATTGGATATACATTTTTACAAGCACTGGCTCTCGCCTTTTCCAGCAAGTAATATCCTTTCGTATGAATCACTTGCAGCAAGATTTCACATATGCGCATCGCTATACAGGAGTTTGGTTATTTTGTACATTTTGTTCTGCGTAACTACAGACAGGGAAGAAAAATATATAATTATTATTTTCCATTTTTATTCTTCCGGACTGTGGCATAATTCTGTGACAGGCATTAGGCTAACTCTAGACGTATTCGGTAATGTTTACCAACGACGCTGAACTCCATAACTAGTCTCGTCTAATATTGACTTATCAGATAGAGGGAGACAAACATTGAAGTAGAAATCAAGACCTAATTGCTAACGGTTGAGGTACTTTGACAAACATTACCCATTGTTAACGCGCAGCTTAAAGTTTAATAATTCAAAGTTGGATTCCAGAGCACACACATTATAAATGCAAGCTAAGGTTTATATTAAAATAAAAGATGAACAATAGCGGGATATCATGATAGATAATTGGAGCCGATCTAGTAGTTAACCCAAGCCCACCATACACGCGCTTACCTACCATGTGCACCATGCTCGAACGCAAAGATTCAGACGATCACACAACGGACAGCGATCATTCCCCAATATTTAATACATTTTCAGTGATTCTGATTAATGCCAGATCCATAATCAATAAACTTCATTTTATAAACACCGTACACAGTTCAATGACCCACAAGCGATCCTCCTTACTGAAACATTGTGTTCTTCAGATACATTTGAATCTACTCTGATGATTGCAAACTACCACCTATTTCGAAAAGATCGCTGCGACCTGAAAGGTGGAGGGTTTATTATATACCTACGAAAAACATTTACAGATAAACCTACAGACCACTCAAAATTGGAAAATATCCCTAAAGCTATTCGGCTGTCAGTCGCAGGTGTCTCATCTTGCACACTACTCGCATGTATCTACAACCCACCGAATACGTCTAAAGTAAATATCACCAGCACCACTTCTAAATTTGACTGCGTGTCAGAGGTGCGACACAGCCAGAAGATTAAAACTGCCTACCGAAAAAACGCTGGTCAACCCACCCAACGTCTACCTTTTACGCCTCTTTTCTTTCTTCCATCATAGCTGGGGTCTGGACAAAATTGATTACCAGTCCAACCAGGTCCTCCAATGTACTGGACTAAATATTCACATTGGGGATACCTAATACATAGACCGAGATCTTAAACCACCTCCATGATAGCGATCATAACATGATTCGACCCAGATTCTAAATTAAAATGGTCACTAAAATCGTCTCTACAGTGCCCGTTGCAACCCATAAGTTAAACTGGGAATGCTTTCAGCAGTTCCTTCGTTTCACCGACTGGGATGTATTTTTCCTCTCTACCAGTGTGTACACCGCTGTGGAAAAGTTCTATAAACAAATCCATCACGCTATAGCCCTCCTTGCCCCACAATGGATTCATATCCCTCATGTATCCAAAGGTTCTGTCGAACACTTAATCAGCAAGAAAACCAAAAGTTACCTGAAAAATACAGATAAACCCATGACTTTTCACTTGTCTTACAAATGCATGAATTTACCACCAGAGGCAAACATGCGCAATCAATACGAAGAAAAAATGAAGAAGCTAAAGCCCTACGGACAAGATGCAAAGTTAGGGAGCTTGTCAAGATACTGCATCATAGAACCAGTGACCGATCTCCTATGACTACCGAAATTGTTGGTAGTGAGGGTCACTTACTCCATGACCACGTTGAAATCTGCGAAACATTCAGTGACTTTCTTTGCCACTACCATGGGTC